GGGGAGAGGAGGAGGAGGAGGAGGAGGAGGAGGAGGAGGAGGAGGAGGAAGTCGGGGCTGAGCCGCTTCCTGTAGGCAGCGGGATGAGCGCAGACAAAGCTGGGTGGGGACTCGCCGCTCGGGGCTGCTGCTGACCACCCTCGTCCTCCTCCTCCAGCGGCCGCATCCCTCCTGCCCTCCCTCCTCCATCCCTGGCTCCATCCTTCCCTCCATCCATCCCTCCATCCATCCATCCCAGCGTCCGTCCGTCCGTCCATCCCTCTGTCCGCCCCGCGGGGACCGGGGCATCGCCGCCCGCTTCCAGGTACGGCCGGGCCCGGGGGGGAGCGGGGGGAGCACTGGGAACACCGGGAATACCGGGATCACTGGGAACACTGGGAGAACTGGGATCACCGGGATCACTGAGATCACTGGGAACACTGGGAACACTGGGAGAACTGGGATCACCGGGATCACCGGGATCACCGGGAGCACTGGGATCACTGGGAGAACTGGGAACACTGGGATCACTGGGATCACTGGGAGCACTGGGATCACTGGGATCACCGGGATCACCGGCTCTGACCGCCCCGTCCGCACTGGCGCAGCCGGGGCTGGGCAGGGCGCTCCCACCCCCGCTGGCACTGACCCCCGTGGGGACCGAGCCGCTCCGAAATCGGCAGAAAATCCCCCCAAATCCCGCAATCCCCGCATCCCCCGACCCCCCCGGGACCCCACCGGGACCCCCCCGGGACCCCACCGGGACCCCACCGGGACCCCACGGTCTCGGGGGGCGATGGGGTCGCAGCCGCCGGGGGCTGGAGCCGGGAAGGTGCCTTGAGCAGGGAGCTCAGCTCCCGACAAAGGTTGGATTTAGAGGGTTTGATCCTCCTTAATCAGCTGATTTCCCATCACAGGCGAGGCTTTCTCCCTTGGTGAATGAGACGTAGTGTTCTTTCTTTTCTTTCTTTCTTTCCCGATTTTTTTTTTTTTTATTATTATTATTTTTTTGGTAATCACGGGAAGGAAGGAACGGGGAGACTTTTCCCAACCCCAAATCCCTGCAGCAGCCTCAGCTGGGATCAGCCCCAGCCTGGCTCGGAGGGATTTGGGGATGATGTCCATGCAGCTCCATCCTGCCATCCTTTCACTGTCCCTCTGCCAGCATTTCTGTCAAAATCCCGATTTTTCCCAGCAGTGCTTTGGGTGAAGGATTCCCGGGAAAATCACCGGGAAGATGAGCTCAAGGAAAACTGGTCCAGAGCTCGCTTGCCCCAGTGGGAGGGGGAAATTCACCAAAAACCTGTCAGAGGGAAGATTTGGAGTGGATATTGGGAGGAAATTCCTGGCTGTGAGGAAGGGGAGGCCCTGGCACAGATTTCCCAGAGAAGCTGTGGCTTCCCCAAATCCCTGGAATTGTTCCAGGCCAGGTTGGAGCAGTCTGGGATAGTGGAGGGTGTGGATGGCAGGGATTGGGATGGGATGGGATGGGATTTAAGGACCCTTCCAATCCTCATCAGCGATTCCACGATTCTCACCTCCTTGGTGGAAAATGATTTATATTTAAGGAGAATCCTGCCGCACAGCGATACCTCCTCATTAATCAATTCCTAATGAGCTGCTAATGAACTTAGAGCACGGGCAGCGGCTCGGAGCAGCCGCGATCTGCCACTGGCTTCTTTCTTCCCCTATTTCCCTCTGCCCTCCCGGATTGCTCCCGATCCATCTCCTCGCTCCTGGGGAAGGGGCTGGGGCCGTGTGGATGGGTGGCACCAGCCCATCCCCTGGCAGCAGGCACTGAGGATTTTTCCTTATAACTGGATTTCCCTGAATGCAACTGGAGCATGCGATTTTAATCCTCTTTCCAACCATATGGCCGCTGGCTGGATTGAAATATGACTCAATTAATTATTGCCAGGAAAGCCCCGAGGCCAAGCCTTTCCCTGGGAGGAGGTTTGGAGGTGCTCCCGGGGCTCCAACGGGGCTTTTCTCACCCTGTGCTGTGGGATTCAGGGATGAGGCTCAGCTCCATCCCACCCCAGCTCCTGTGTTGGCCCTACAAGGTCCAGCTGCTCCTTGGCACCGCTTTTGGGGCTTTTTTAGGTGTTTCCAGCCTTGAAGGAGGAGGCAGGGATGCTGCTTGATGCAACGTGCTGCTCACCTGGAGCATGAGTCTGGCAGCCTCAGCCCCAAAATGGGATATCCCCAGATTGGGAGAGAACCTGTGCCCCTCACACAGCCCCAAAATGGGATATCCCCAGCTCAGGAGAGAACCTGTGCCCCTCACACAGCCCCTGCATGTGCCCATCCTCTCTCCCAGATTCCCTGGGAGCTGCCAGCTCTGATCCCAGTGGATAATGCACCAGCCTGAAGGATCCCAGGGTTTTTTTCTCCTTGCAGCCATGAGCTGGTGGTGGCTTCGTGGGGCACATTTTGGATTTGGGGGAGATGATAACTGAGGCTGCTTCATGGCAGGGAGGGGTTCTCAAGATCAGGAGTGGACAATTCCAGAGGGATTCCCGTGGATTGATGGCTGTGAGCCGGTGAAGAAGCTCTATTTATAATTATTACATTTATTATTTTTATTAATACTAATATTATTATTATTACTAATCCCCCAAGCCCTCCTGCTGCTTTGCCACCCCGTGCCAGGTGGAAAATGCAACAAAAATGCAATTTTCCCGGGGTGGCCAGTGCCATCCCACCTGGCAGCCCCGCTGGAATTCCAGGGGCTCCCGAATCCCGGTGAGTCACCGAAGGAGGACAGCCAGGAGCCGGCTCTGCCTGTTTCCATAGTAATTAGGGCTGGAGAGACGGTGCCGGAGCCCCACGGACCCCCCGTGTCTCCAAAAAACGCTGCCAGGGGCGGTTTTCCCACTCCATCCCAGCCGGGATGCTCCAGGCGGGCTCTCCCGGGATCGGGAGCTGCTCCCTCCCGCTGGATTGCCCCGTTTTGGGCCGGGATTTGGGGACTCACCCTGGAAAAAAAACCATTTTAGGCACGAGTGGCAACAATTCTCGGTGTGACTTCTCCAAGGGTCTCATTCCTGTGCCTGGAGCGGGGTGGGAAAGCAGGGTGGGAAAATGGGATGGGAAAACGGGATGGGAAAACGGGATGGGAAAATGGGATGTGTCCGTGTGTGCTCACAGCCAGCACGGGAGCAGGAGGAACGAGCTGAGGGATTTGCTTGGATTTTCAGTTTTTCGTGCTTTTCTGGCTCTTTTCTCGTTGTTCTCCCTGTCTGGGCTCCGCCTCTTGGTGGGAAGGAGGGATGGGGGCAAAGGCAGCGGGAGATGGAGCCCCATCCCATGGAATAAGCTGTGGGTGCATCCTGGTCCGCTGACCACGGAATTTTTTGTTTGTCCTCTCACGGTTTTATTCCCTGCTCGCTTCCAGCCCTGCTTTCCACGTGCATTTTTTCCTTCTGGGTGCCACATGCACCCCAAACTCACTCCCTTGGGAGCACAGGAGCGCTTTTCCACCCAAAATCCCGGGGGGAATGGCCAGGGGGGGTCTCCTGGCCCTGCTGCTCGTGGGGAAGCTCGGGATGGCTGCTGGAGAATCGGCTCCTCCACACTGGAGCTCTGAGCTGGGAAGGACGGGATCCAGCTGCCAGGAGAACACGGATTTGGCTCCGTGGAGAAGCCAGGCTTGCTCCAAACCCCATCCAGAGTGGCTGGCATGGCGCTGGTCGGGTGGGGATGTTGGATCAGGGCAGTGATTAATTAATGACGCCTTTGATTAGGGATGCGCGAGGGAATCGCGGCGCTTGGCGGGCGGGGAGGCAGCTGGATCCAGGATCAGGGAATCATGGAATCGTTGTGGCTCGGGCTGGAAGGGATGGAAGAGACCATCTGGGATGGGCAGGGATGCAGCCTGGAGTCTGAAATCACTCATCTCCTGCGTTTCAAGGATCCAAGGATCAGTGGGAATAAAAATCCCGTCTGAAACAACATTGGACCAAGCCTTGAGAAACCAGCTGAGACACCCTGGATAATTCCTGGGAATCAGCTGCACCAGGACCTGCTTATCCTCCCAAACACAATTAATTTTCACCTTATCTCGTCCTTCCCTGGCTTTTCACTCGGCAGTTTCCTCCCCCTGTTGTCATCATCATCCTCGTTAGAACCCCGGTTAATTAGCTGATCCAGGGAAGCTCCGGTGCTGCTGGATGTGGTTGGAGTTCTGTGCTGTGGGTGAGGCTCTCGTGGAGATTCCTGAGCTGCAGCTTGGTCATTCCAGGGGTGCTTCCCAATCCAGGAGCCGCTGGATAAGCTCCTTTGGCTGAGCTGATGTCTCAGTTTAACAGGTTTATCTTCCTGCCCTCTCTTGCTCTCCCCAGGGCTTTGGGGAGGAAAGCTGGCTCTGTCCATCCCTGGGAACAGTTTTCCTGGCTGGAAAGGTCCTGGATGCAAGAGGAATCTGTGTGAGACACCTTGGAGCTCATCAGGAATCCCTGATCCCTCCAAAGGGGAAAAAATTCCTTGGCAGAGCATGGGATATTCCCAGTGCAAACTCCTCGGTGTTCCTGCTTTCAGCATCCTTCCTCCCGCTGCATCCTCTGTCCAGGGGGATAAATCCCAGCCCCAAAGCCTGGCTGCTTCCTCCTTTCCCTGTGCCCATCCCTGGCACCAGTTTTGGGGTTTTTTTCGGCATTTCCAGCCTTGAAGGAGGAGGCAGGGACGCTGCTGGGGTCAGCGTGCTGCTCCCTCAGAGCTGGGGACCACGGGGACATCGGTGCCCTGTGGCACCCTGAGCAGCGACACAAACCCAATCCTGGCACATTCCCAGAGTAAATCCCAGCTGAGGATCCCTCTCCTCCTGCACCTGCCTGGCTGGGAGGAGCTGGAGCTGTTCCCAAGGCTGGCACCTCCCAGAGAAGGGTGACACTGCCGGGCTGGGTTCCTGCGCTAATTACGGTCATTACGGTCATTAAGGCCGGGTTTTGTGTCTCTCCTGTCGCTGCTGCTGTGCCAGGAGACTTCGGGCTTAGATCCCTGGAACTCTTTCGGTTGGAAAAACCCTGGAGAAAATTCTTCAAGTCCAACCATTCCCACCCACATCCCCAAGTGCCACATCCACGAGGCTTTTAAATCCCGCCAGGGCTGGGAGCTCCACCCTGGGCAGAGCCAGTGCCTGGAATTCCTGGGCGATTTTTGCCAATTCCCTTTTAATAATTTTAATAATTTCTCCTCCTGGTCCCTTTCCCAGGGAACAGACGTGGTGCTGAGCCCCTGCAGCCAGGGAAAAGCCACCACCCTGGTGGCTCCCCGGGGCCAGGCAGTGTCTGCAGGGATGTGGAGGAGTTTTCTCCTGGATCTGTG